GTCTGCCAGTCCGGCTGTCTGGTGGTTACTCCTCACCATAGTTGGCTGCCAGTTAAAGCGGATTTGTGTTCTCTTGGTCCATGCTTTTGCTGCAGTTGAAGACGTGTTGCCGTTCTGGCGTCAAGAGCTTGCTTTATTTATTTAGTTTTGTTTTATTCATTTGCAGTTACTATGGCTACGGCTTTTAGCTTATCTTTTTATATATATGGAGAATAAAGTGCTTATATAATAAATTCAATGCCATTTTTGTTTACTAAAAAATAGTCCACAACTGTTTAAATATACACAAGAGAGTCATCGTAACAGGTATCTAATTTTTTCGATAAAGAAAAACTATTTTGACTTTGGGTAAGATGAGACTATCTTTTTAATTATAAGAAATCTTTTTTTTTTTTGTTTACATGGAGACTAGGTGTTCTATGAGTTGGCTAAGGCAATTAAATGGTTCATTTATTGTAAGCTCAACAGAACTTTACTTAATCAAGGTAACAAAATTTTCAAGCATTTTAATTGCCATTAAAAATATTATTAGCAAGTGTTTTATATATTTTTCTGGCCCTTGCACCTTACGATAAATAACCAAAACAATAATAACCTTATGTAAATTGATTTCTACATCAAAAATAACAGACTTATGGCTCGTGAATACAAAAGAGCAAATGGCTTCATTGTAAGTTGATTCAATTCAGTGTTTAATCTGAATTTGGATGAAATCTCGAATTGTTTGTATGTTATGTGTTCCACTACTCAGTAAGCGGAATGCTATTGCCAATTTGGTCAGCACAGCTCGCATTACTTTGATTAAAAGAAAGCAGCCTTGTTTTTTAATAAAGGGCACTCGAAATCACAAAGTAAGTTTCAGCACTGCCTGGGTAGCGACCACCAGCGGTGCGCTACCATTTGCCATTCTTATACACATTTATTTATTCATATTTTTTTTTTGTGTCTCATCCTGTGCGCTCATCACATTGCTGTTGTTATTTTTTTTTATTTATTTTGTTTTCTGCTTTTTTTTTATTATTTGTTTGTCGGGCAGGATATTACACCTCGGTTTTTGTCGCTGTCTTTCACTTTCACATGCTGTGACATATTTCTATAGCGAATCTTGAGAGTGAAGGGAGTTGGGAAACTTGAGTGAAAAGTCTGCTGGCGCGCAGTCAGCCAGACATTTTAGCGGCGGTTTCGTTCTTTTTAATCTTATAAACAATGTCAGCATGAGCTCTGCTTCCCGTTCTGCTCACTGCTCTGCTCTGCTGGTGTCGTCTCCAAAAAGTTGCATATGGCTTTCAAGCGCCCAAAAGCATTTTATGGCTTTAATATGTTAAATCGCATTTGCTTATCACTTTTTTTTTTTGTGTCACAAAATGTTTCTTAAATGACAAAGTGACTGAATAAATTGTAGGGCGGAGTTAACACTAGTTTTAAAATTTAAATAAACGTGTAGAGTTGAGCTTGGGCTGGTTTTAATGATTGAACACATAAACTTCAAGTAATTAACAAAAAGGCTTAAGCAAATTTATTTTTTCTTTTAAAGAGTAGTTATTAAATTTAGAAAAATACAGTTTTCATATTAGAATAGTTACCAACATTTTCTAACAGCAATCAGCCCAGCTATTCACAACCTCAAAGGGCAAACAATTATGCAAAGCATAAAAGAAAAATTGCTGGCTTTTCTGTGCAGCTATTCAAAACGAGTTACGTTACTCATATTAAATGATACATTTTTAATAATCCTTTGGGCCAGCTTTCTGAACGAGTAGTAACAAAAATAGCAGACTCCAAGGGTTTAACATTAAAATTTATTGGCTGCTTAAACTGTTGAATAACTATGACAAAGAAAAATGTTCATTGAAGCTTTATTCAACTAAATTTTTTTTCTTTTTTTTTAAATCAGAGTTTTTATTTTTTTGTAATAGTATTAAATGAACTTTCGCGTTTATTTAATTGTTTAAACTACGCTTTGTTAATTTTACTTTCTATTAGTAAAATTATGGTCGGTCGTTTAAGAACACTTTCTCTGTGGCCATTTTGGTGAATGTAATTAATACATTAACTCAATCTTCTAGCGCATTTTCATTTACATATTTGTTCTATTGTTCTACCTGCGGCAATATTTTCTACTCAGTGCTGAATTAGCTCGTTTGTGGCAGCATACAAATGCGAGCTACTCCGTGAGTTGAATCCCTCCAAATGTCTGGCTGATAAAAGTACAAAAGATAATGCCGGCGGCAAGTGTGCACAAATTTTTAGGACTCGAATGGGGCAGTGGGGTAATGTGTGCACGAATGTGTTTACATGCCATGCATCACTTTGCCTTGATTTTGAGAAAAAATTATCTGTTAACACCCTTACAAAGGATGAATGAATCAGGTCAAGAATCGAGCTTCGAATTTTAATATCATTGAAAGACGAATTTTCAGATCGAATGACTATTATTATCTGTTATTGCTTATAAAAAAGATTATGTTTGGTTTTAATATGAATGCGTGCATAATTATTATAAAAATAAGGGCATTTAATATTCAGTATTGTATAAAAAGAATACATTTTTATTTGTATTTTTCCTTTGTGGTTGTGTGTTTTTAGTTATGCTCTACGTGCGGTTAATCGCAAATGAGCAACGCAATTCCTGTACACATAATGAGGCCAATTAGGCCTGCGGCAAAAACTAAATGCCGTGTGCAGCTTGTTTAATGGCCCGCTTAACTATGACTATCTGCCATCTCGCAAGCCTTTTGCACAGTACCCAAAAAATAAACCCAACTGGCTGTTGGCATTTTCTTCGGGCCACGCGAAATTACTCGTCTGTTAACGGGTTTATGTTTACATCTACTGATTGCGAATCAGCTTTAAATCTTCCCGCAGCGGCAGACAAACTGACAGCATTTGCTCGATTACCAACATCAACTACTTGTGGTTAACAGCGGAAGTCTTCAGTTACTTTTTTATGTTACCATTCGATAGCAAGTTCCCATTAATAGTTTTTTATGACTTGTCTGGGTCCACAGCCAGCGCGAAATAAAGCATAATACTAGTATTTTCTGTGAAACATCAGACTTGAAGGCAGATATTGAAGAATCTTAAGAAAATAGACATCCAACAATTTAAATAATTTCAATTAGCTTTAGTTGTTGTTTATCATTTGTCAGTTTCTTGAACTCAATGGGATTTGAAGCACTTTGAATAGTAAAAATGAATCGTAGCTAAATTCAACACAAACTCAAGTTATAAAAATTTTCATTTTCATTTTTTGCCACACGAATCGAAATTTTCATTTCAAATGACAGGCATGCCTACTCCAACATTTAACAAAACTATTAATTCAATTCAAGTTGGCAGCACGATTGTATAAATATATAAAAAATAAATGTAGCGTAAACCACAAAGCCGAACCTCTAACTGTGCCAGTTACTTGATCAAATACTCAAGGGGTTTCAGAACCATGCAGCCCACACACACACACACACACACACACACACACACACACACACACACACACACACACAGACACCGCATACATACACACGCTAAATATTTGCACAGAATGCATTAGACTTTACATGGAAGCATGTGAAATATTTATGGAGGAGCATTGTAGACGTCAGATGATTAGTTGCATGTTCTATGTGCAGTCAGGGCTCCCCGAGCTGTCGATGATTTTGACCGAGCAAATATTTAATCTTAGAATATATTTACCCCTCTTTGGACGTGCTGGACGTCTTTGGAAATCTCAGTTGTGCTCCAAACAGCAGCAGCAGAAACTGTTCGCAGCTCGACTCGTATTAGCCCAAGTCAAACAAAGACATCGGCAAAATTGCAACGTGCAGAGAGGTCAAAAGAGAAACGAAGCAAACAGAGAAAAGAAAGGAAAAAATGAAAAGGAAAAGTGTTGTTAAGAAAATGCACAAGACAGAAAATCGATGTGAGCTGTGTGTTGCTTTTACGGTTGACTCTACAAATTTTATGGTTGGAGTGGGTGTCACTAAATCCTCGGTGTGACAGATTAACACGTGCTGGTCAAGCTATAAGCGAACTGCTGCCAACAGCAGAAGGCTAAACTCGAGTTGCAAACAAATAAATGGTGAAAATATGTATTTAAAATAGGGCATACCAAATACAAAAAATAAATTTCTGTAAATAAATAAACCGTGATGTAAAATACCAACAACTGCCAAAATCGATGAAAAGTTCAAGCGAAATCAATTTGCACTTTTTTAATTAAACTTTCTGGTACAACTTTGTTCCCCCAATCCACCACTTTACCTGCTCGTCTTCTGCATGCCTTATGATGAGTGCAACTGTTGCTACTTGTTTGATTCCCCTTAACGCATTTGTATGCTGTTAATTAAGTTTTTTTATTTGTATTTTTTTAATAATTACAAGCAGCTAGTGGCGTTTTGAGCGCATTAATATGTAATTAAAATAGTTCCTGGCTTGGGCGAACAATATAATTAAATAGTTCAATAATATCAAATTATCAAAAATTGGTTTTCAATAAAGGAAACTACAGACATGTTTATCTCCTATTGATAGTAAAGTGTATAAAAAATATATTATAACACAAAACTGAAAGCATACCGTATGATTGTAAAATCGTTTGTTATTGGACGATTTTCGTTTAACCATTTATTTTGTGTTCGGTGACTTCTGTTTTTATAATTTAAGTAGGTATTGGCTTGCTCCTTGCGAAATACCAATTTAATATTTTTCTATGTATTTACCAAAATACTGTGTCAATTCAATTTGTAGTTTCTATTGGGTAGGTATTATTGCAATTATGTCTGTTCGTTTCTTTTCGATTTTTGTTCCTCAGTTTGAAGCATTTTTGATGAAACCCAGGACTCTTTCAGGTGTATTAAGTATATGTATATGCCAGAAACGGCCAGATTTGAGCACTAATACTTAATTGATACCTTTCATATTTGCTAATATTTCGTAAGTAAATTCTCTTGTAATCAAAAATCGCCCCGCTACTCAATCATAAATAATAAATCATTTAATTTAAATTTTTTAATTTGATCATTTATTTTTATAAAATCAATCATAACAATTCATTATTCAGTTTGGGCGTTCATTCATTGAAATCATTAGTTATTTGTTTTTGCTTTGTTGTTTTCGTTTTAATATTTTGGTTTACATTTTTACATATTAAACAATTCCATATTTGTATGCTTTATTTACGCAATTATCAAATACTTAAAAAATAAAATGCGTCTAAATTGAAATACGTACATCGTATGTATGTAAGTGCAATAGATGCGTGTTGATGTACTTATTATGATGAATTACTTTATTGTTATATTTAATTATTGGTGATTATAGTAACTAATCAATTAGGTTGTATGTTTTTTTTCCGTTATCAGTTTTTAAAAAATATATTTGTTCATATACAATATGTTGTGTGTTTGTGTGTCATTGTTATTATAATAATTATTTTAAGTTTTTCATCTCTTTTTTTAATTTTTTGGTTGTTTATAAAGGACGATAAACCATCATAGACGTTATCAAAAAGGCAAACCATTAATTATATAAGTAAGTACATACAATGCTTTTTACAAGATTTACAAATCTTTCTCATATTCTCATATATTTCTCAAGTTGTTGCTAAGAGCATATTTGACTTGATTAATCTATAACTAGTGTTGTTTTTTCTTTGCTAAAAATGATACAAAAAAATGTTCATAAATGTTACATTTAAAATTCCATCAAGAAGACATTTTGCATGTATGGACTACAATTTGTATGCTATGAGGAGGCAGGGTTACCTTGACCACCGGCCAAGTTGCGCTGTGGTGATTGTTGTTGTTGAGTGGGTGAAATAGTTCTTTGGCTAGTCGTAGGCATTACAGCATTATTTCTACTATTTATATTATTATTAGTATTATTTTGGCTAAATTGAGACTTAGTATTATTAGTGGTCGTTACTGTGGCAACTCGTCTAAGACGATTATCTGGTATCGGTGGTGATTGTAAAGTGCCCGAACCCTGATGTTGAGGTGAGAAAGATGATGGCCCGCTGGCGCTGCCACCAAATGCACCAGCAATGCTGCTGCTGCCACCGCCACCACCACCACCACCGACGGCACTACCACCAAAGATGCTGCCATTGCTGCTGCTAATCAGGCTCAACGAATGATCATTGGACAGTATCTGATGGGCAGCCAAATTCATCTCCTCGGGCGTCATATCGAGCGCCTCACGCATCTCCCGAGCAGCTGTGCCCACAAACTCGGAATCACAATATTTTCCTAGACCCTCAGCGGCGAGTACCTAAAAGAAACCGAATATTTATGTTGGCATATAATTGATTAATATGAGAATAGTCTCACCCCTCCAATCAATGATTCGGCTAGGCCATTCATTTCAGATGAAGTTGGTAAACGACGCTGATCGTAAGGACTAGCTGGTGTCGATTGGATCATGCGTTCGTGGCCAGGAATAGCACCATTGGGTGCGTAGACTATATAATTGCATAAAATATGAAATACAAGTTGGTTTATTATCTATTATTGGAAGAAATTATTGTTTCCAAAACATTTCTTTAAAAATTTGTACACCGCTTGATGATCATATTTAAATTTGTCATACTTGTCAGTCTACCTAGGCTTTGAAGTATTACCTGTCTTTATAAATAAGTAAAATATCACATGTTAAGCAATCTACATTTATCCCATTTAAGAAATTATTATTTTGTATATTTACTTATTTATCGAACACTTGACTTACGTAAAATTATTTGAACGAGTTATGACATAATTTAAGATGGTTGTAAATGTATTTGAAAGTCCCGCAATTATAATTTTATAACACGTTTATTTTAAAATTATGTTTTACAATATCACTATCAGAAAAAAGACTTTTCTTTGTTTCTTCTGCTTCTGAATTGTGAATTTTAGCAACTTCTCTGAGATTGAGCAGTCATTTTAATTAAAAGAAAATTATAAATTATTCATTTAAACTATCAAACGACCGTTTCCCATCAACCAATATGATCATCAAGCATTTACTTAATAAGACAACTTAAATTATAGTTGACTGTTAGTTAAGCATTCAATAATACAGGCTATATTAATATTTTAGATGTTATTGTACAGCTTTATGTAAATGAAATAAGCATATTCTAGAGAAATAAAAAGTTAATTAACTATAAACTAAAGCAAGCAACGATCGCTATTGAGGCATATACAAACAATATATGATATTTATTTATCCTTGAAGGCAATGCAGACATGTCCTTAAGGCGGGCTCTACAAAGGCGTTACTAAGGCAATTTCTAAGGCATGGGCAGCGTTTTATTAACGAAGCAGGCGGATCAGCTCAAGCCAATCAAAAACCAAGCAATATCTTTCAATGTGTGTGTGAGTGTGTGTATGTGTGTATGCTCTAAGTATTCACAGAGTGTATTTTGTATTGGATTCTCTGGATTTCATATCTATAGGGCACCCCCACATAAAACATAAGAAGCGACGATAAGACAACATTAATACAACAGTTAACGAACATTTTGTTTTGTTGAAGATTTGGCATATATAAATAATAATTGAATATACGAGTATCGTTGACATGGGTATATAATAATTATTAGATTATAAGTATTTGATGGACGCAAGGCACACTTTGATGGGTATACGCTCAGTCGGCCAGGCCAGCTTATGAGTACATATGGGCACAACAACACTGGTATATAAGTATATAGACACCGATATCATTTGGATTAAGATTTGTAAGAAATACTTTGATTATGGTAACCTTTTTCAATTCGATTCGTTCTTTGTTGCGTGTTAAACGGTTGTTCTTGTTGTTGTTCAGTTGTTGTTGGTTGTTGTTGTTGTTTTTGGTGTTATGTTTTACTCCACGCAGGTCTAAGCAGTTACATAAAACTCTTTTTATTTATATTTTTTTTTACAATACTTAGGGAATGGTTTGTTGCACAAAAACAAAAACAAACAAATTGGTATATTTAATACAAAATGATAAATTATGAAACAAACATAAAATTTTCTTTGCCCATTTGGCCGTAATGAGAGCTACATATGTGGTTCGAACTCTCTGGGACTCATCCAGGAAGTTATTCAGTGTTCGAAACTCAGCACTCGGTTGTTTTTAAACTCGAATCACTTAAGCTATAATAAAGATGTTTATAAAAAAGAGTTATACAAAAACAAATTACTTTAACAACACAATTTTGCATAGAATTCAGTTTAAAATTTAGATTGGACCTTAAAAGTATTACACAATTTTTAGGTTTGACAATTGGTTGCTTATTAATCAATTACAAATTAAGCTTGAATCAATCTCAATTTGTTAGTTTGTAATCAACAAAAGGAGCCATGTGCATTTGGTTAGAGCACAACGCTTATAAGCTGAAAGAGTTGTAGATATTTTATTCAATACGTATATCGTTTTTGAGAATACTTCAAAGTTATCATAATGGAACCCCAATCAATAACTTTTTACTTAGTCATCAACTACTAGTTATCGATTTATTTTAATCAATAACTAGTAAAATAGTACTAATTTAAATATCCAATTAAATCATTTTAAATTAGTGATAATTAAAGCTAAACAAATAGAACTCCCTCATGCTAAAATATATTTCTAGCAAAGAAATAACTTCAATTTGTAAATATTTTTTAAAAACTACACTGTTCATTATTCAAAGCAAAAGTCTTGCTTTCATTATTATATCAGTTTATGTATGGGTTTAATTTTAGTTTAATATCCATTTGATTTATATGCTTTGTTTAATTGTTGTTTTGTGTGTCTATATAATCTACTGAGGCTGAGTATATAATATGTATATATATATATTTTAGTATGTATAAGAGGCAGCAAAAAGCGTTTCTAGAGTAGCCCAACTAAACTACTAAATTCTACGATTAAGTGTACACTATATATATAAATATATACGATATTGTATTATTAAAAACTGCGCATAGAGCTAATGCAATGTTTACTACGAGTCGAAATTAATTTCCATTCTGTTGAGTGTTTTGAGTGTCATCATTTCTGTAACGCCGCGCTTCACAAACAGCCAAAAACACATTGAAACCATAGCGATTTTCGTTTATTTTGTGGTTTAAATTGCGCTTATTAGTCAGTTATTTAATAATATTATTTCGATATTGTGATTTTTGTTTTTTTTTTGGGCATGCCGCAGGCAAAATTTAGAACTCACAACTCAGAATTTTAGTGGCGATTACGAAAAAATGTACAATAATAATAATGATGCTGCGCTACAAATGTTATATGTATATACCGAAAAATGATAATTCGATAATTAATTAATTAGTATGCGCAAAACAAAAAGAATTAGAGAACTGAGGCGTTAGTTGAAGAAATCAGAGGTTTTCGGTGGATGTTGTGTGTGGGAGCCAAAGAAAACTCAAATATAAAATGCCACAACAAACAAATGTTTTTTTGTTTTTCGGGTTAACTCGAGAAATTATAATAAACAATTAAATAAATTTTTTTTTGTGCAATTGCTTTTTGCTGTTGTTGCAGTAGTTGTTGCAATTGCAGCATTTTTGCGCTTACCATTATTATATGGATGCAATAAAATACCACGATTGCGGTTGCTGAAATTAATGTTCGGGGATTGAGTAAATTTGTTGTTGTTCGGTTCTCAGTGAATGTTGGTTGGTATTTTTCTTTGTATCGAGTTTATAAACACGCTAACACGCATAAATATAAGTATGATATATAATTATATTATTTTTCTTAATTAAAGTCAGGTTGTTTTTTTTTGCTGGTGATTTTTCAACTAATTTTCTAATTTTGCAACTAAATTGATGGCCAAGAACAATAATCTGTGGCCCGGGCTCCTTTTGTCCATTACAAACGTTAAAGGCGCACTAAATAAAGAACAAAATGCCATACAAACGTGGCCAAAATGATGAGACAAAATATAACTCACTAAACAGCAAGCCATAATAACAAGAAGTATATATGGAATGGAAACTCAAGAATTGACAGATTTCGTGTGCGTCTAGACTCTAGAGAATTAATAAAATGACCAACTCCCGCGCGGCATCGAGTTTTCATTTCCCCTCTTTCGCAGAACGTAGCCTCAAAACTTCCCCCAATACTCACTCATAAGATATCGCATTGGCCTCCGGCGGCAAAGTGCCGGCCACAGTGGCTGCACCGACTCCGCCACCATTCTTCGCCAGCGGACGCATCGAGATGCTCTCGCCAAAGGTACGCAACTCGCCACCGCTGCTCGCATGCAGCTCATCGTGCAGCTTGCCACTGGCCGCCATCCTGGCCTGCATTATGTTGCGGGTGATGTGATTGACACCATCGGCGACGCTCCGATTGAGATTATCGTAAAGGTAATCGACGCCACCGCTGTCTGCGCTGCCCAGCACCAAACTGCTGCCGCCCACGCCCGCAGCGGCCAGCGAGGAGCCGCCAATGGTCAGTGCCCCATTGCTCTGTGAGGCCTTGGCACTGCGACGGAAAGTGCCATTGCCATGACGACGTATCGAAGACCAAACACTGCCAAACAGCGTATGATGGCGCTGTGGGCAAAGAGCATAAATCAAATTCATTAAGGTTGTGAAATTAGATTCACAGTTTTCAATTTATTTTGTCACCAAACCAATAACCACTATTAAATAACATTTAGGTGGGAGTCTTTCAAAAAGACACAAGACAGAGTAGCATATTTTCAGGTTGTATTCCACACCAGAAATTAATCTTTAATATATAGATATAGAGTGATATGCGCATGGTATACGAGAACTTGTAGACAGATGGTGCGAGGGACAGACAGACGGACATGGCTAAATCAACTCGGCTGTTGATCTATATATGAGGTCGGAGATGCTTTCTTCTGGCTTTTACTTAATGTTGGACAAAATCCTTATACTTTTCTTACCAATCTCGAATGTGTGCAGGGTATACAAAATATTGCAACAATGATTTTATAGAAAAACCTCTTCAAGTTTGGCTTGGAGACTTTAAGAACTTTGTTATTGACTTACGCGATGCATGGGCTCTGGTTCCTCGGCCAGCTCATCCAGATTTCCTGAGATGGCGCGCTTCAGCGCTGGCGACACTTCGTGCAGCGTGCGTAGACCCGCTTGCAGTGTAACCGTATTGCTATCGGGATGTCCCTCCTTGCCCTCCTGTTCCTTGCGTTTCTTGAAGCGACGGAAATAGTCCTGTATCAGATACGTGGCATAGAACTTGCCCACTGTGACTTCATCATCGTTGCCCGGTGGCGGCACCACTTGATCCAGTAGCTTTGCATTGGTGCGTTTCCAGATTTGCTTAATTGTGGCGCGCAATTCAGCATTGCAATCATCGATGTTGCCCTCAGTTTTTATACTCAGCGAGGTACGCACAACCGCGAAAAGGGTGGCATTGAAGAGCACCGTTCCGTCGGAATTAAGGGGCATGTTCATGGAGACCAGTCGCTTACAGGCCATGCGATGCGGACACAGCTTGCCAAAGCCCAATGGCGGTGATATCTTCCTTAGCAAGGTGACCACGTCGAGATGCTTGATGCGCCCTTTAGCGTCCGGATCGTATTCGCTCCACAGGCGAATAAACTCGTCCAAATGATGTGGACCCAGGATGGACCAATCGCGCGTTAGATAATCAAAGTTATCCATGATGACGGCCACAAACAAGTTAATGATCTGAAAATGGAAATGGTTTGAAGCTATATAATTAACTGGATTTCATAATATTGTAGTCAATTCTGATTCATTTTTTAGCCTTCTGTTTCATTATGATCTAATAAATCAAAATAATGAAAATATATAGAAATACAGAAAATTTTCTTCCAATAATTATTTTGAATTCATTAATGTTATGAATTTAAATGCAATATTTAGAAAAATCGTTCTTAAATTGAATTTGAGAAACTTAAAAAGTGTAATGAACAGTGAAAATATAGATAGATTGTGTAATACCCACCAAAAATGAGCACAGCACATAGAAGGATATAAAATAGGGATAGGCTATGGATGAACCGCACTGATCGCCCGGCGTATCCGAGTTCATATCACAATGCACATCCGGTTGCGCTGAGCAGGCCATCATAATATCCTGCCACGCCTCACCGGTGGCTGAGCGAAACAGCACCAGCACTGCCTGCTGAAATGTTTGGAAATTGTTGTTCCTAGTTATGGCATTGCCACCATCCAGCGCTATCTTGCCAAAGACCTGTAGGATTATCAAGTTTAATATCGTATGGATATATGGTATCTTTCAAAGAGAGTCACCTGCATGCCCACAACTGCGTAGATGAAGAAGAGCAACACTATGAGCAGAGCCACATAGGGTAGAGCCTGAAATGATTTGATGAAGGTCCAGAGGAGCGTACGGATACCCTCACCCTTGCTGAGTAGCTTGACGAGACGCATAACACGGAACAGTCGAAAGAAATTTATGGAAATTAAATTCGAGCCAGCCTGCAGGTAAATAGAAGCTGTGAGAAAAGTTTTCATTTGTTAGGTTATTAAAGACATACCGCCTTAGTCTTGGCTTTACAGCCCTCGACAATATCACACGCGGCCTGTGTGTCCTTGCTCTGTATTAGCAAGACAAAAATTTGTTAAATATATTCTGGATAATGTAGAGAAACATTCAAACCTTAATTTCGGAATAAACAATATCTATAAAGCTGCCAAGCACAATAATGAAATCGAAAACGTTCCACGCATCACCGAAATAGTTCTATGAAAAATAAATATAAATTAATACTTTAAAGTATTATAAATTAAACTAAGTTCTACGCTCACTTTGAATCGAAAAGCAGCCAGTTTAAAGACAAATTCCAAGGCAAATACTGCTGTGAATATCATATTGAGTGCATCCAGCAGTTCCGTATACCATAAGGGTTGCTGATAGAACTTCATAGCAAGTGTGACCGTGTTTATCATAATCAGTATAAATATTGTATACTCAAACGATGATGATGTCACAAACCACCAGACTTTATACTGTATGCCATGTTTCGGTATATATCGACGAACCGGTTTCGCTTTCAGGGCAAACTCAATGCAATTTCGCTGGTTCTTATCCAGATCACAATTTTTGTACTCCTGTTCACCCTCATTTTGGAAAGTGACAATAACGAAACCGACGAAGATGTTGACCATGAAGAAGGCAATTATGATAATATAGATTATATAGTAGGCAGCGACTATAGGACGGAAGTTGTGTATTGGACCGCCATTTTCCTGATTTGAATCAATAGAGACATAGAGGAGCCTATAGAGGAAGTAAAAATCAATTATTAACCAACTGAAAACTGGAAATGTGTGCATTACTTACGCTGGCCAGCCCTCAAAGGTGGAAACGGTAAAAAGTGTTAGCATGCCTTTGGCTACATCGTCGAAATGGAAACCGTTATTGCTCCATGCGCGCTCCTTAAGACGTGGCTTGTTCATATCCCCACCCTCGTAAACTAGATAGGTGCCGCTAAAAAATAAAATAGATATATTACCTATTATACTGAGTAAAAAAAGGTCATCAGATACTTACTAGCATTCCTCTCTCACCATTTTAGAACCATCGGTGCATGAGAAAAATTTACCCTATATGTTGGATTGATGATTTACGGACCCAGAACAGATATGTAGATGTTTATTAATGAAATTGTTGAAGAAATCATTCGAGATAAACTTATGAAAAATGCTCTTAACTTCTGGGTACACAGCAGTTAAGGGCATTTAACTACAACTTCTCGATAGTACTATCGACTAATGCCTAATTATACGTATTATGCAGCGATACTATAGACTAAGCTAGTCTATATTTACATCGATATACAGGGTGTCTCATTTGCAAACAAATTTACATACACATAGGATTTTTGTTTTCTTAATTGATTGCTTTTTCGGAACGGACACAAGATTTGAATTGGACATCACATTATATTTACAGACGGGACTAAAACAATACAATACACAAGTTGTTACAAACATTTCAGGATTGGGTTTCAAAGTGTTAATATAGGTAAATACATATATAATACAAATTGTTAGCGAGCAGCTTAACTGGCTGTAAATAATCAGCTAGGAAGTATGTAGCTAATAGGGAACAGAACTCATTGGTATAAGTTGAAAATGTTTTGGGATTAGGCTGTAAAGCTAAATAACAGCTGGCGAGGCGTTGAAAGCTTTTTTAAGCTAATTGGAAAGTGTAATATTCGCAACGATATCATGAATTTGTATATAATTAATGAGCTTAGAGCATAATTTAATTAAGTTTACCAATATCATTTCATGAAGTAAAATTCATTCTGTAAAGCTAAGAAAAATCAAAAGATTTCACACATCATAAGAGATCAGAGTTCATAGTTAAAGCCTATCATAACAAATGCCCCCAAAGTACACATATTTAAGTTCATTCTCCAATTAAGTTTCATATATCTATCCAATCGAAAATTGACAGTAGATCGGAGTACATTAAAAATTCAAAGCACACATATTAAGCAGCGAGTAAATTGAATTCTTTCATAAAAGCGCACACATAAAGCCGATTCTAGTTACCCTTTACCAATTTAAATTTTCATTTAGTTTTTTTTTGTTTATATAATTGAAAAAAAATTACCTTAAAGAGTTGCACTCCAATAACGGCAAACATGAATTGCAATAAATATGTAACCAACATAATATTACCAATGGTTTTAATTGCGACAACGACGCACTTGACCACATACTGTGTATTTTTTTTGCAGAGTGGCCCAATATTTGTTTTTGTGTTTTAGTCGAATGTGTGGAATAGCAAAAGAATTGACAGGCGTGTATGATGTGTATTTTTTGTTTTTGTTTTTGTTTTTTTTTTAATTTTATTTTTTTTATGCGATGTGTGTGGGTGTGTGTTTATGTAGCATCAATCAGCGGGAATTTTTGTTATTGTGGCCACATTTTTGGAATAGTTTCAATTAAATCAAAATTTTTTTTGCCAAAGCAAATGGTACACAATGCAATTGTTTGTGTGTGGCAAAATATTCGAAAACCGAAACGATAAAAGAGAGAAAAAGAGGAAAATTCATTTGTAGGGGTTTAATTCTGAAAGTTGTTTTGTATGCTAAAAATAAATTAATGTTTGTGTGTGTACTTTTTACAATTAAAACGAGGTTAATGACACTAAATATCAGTGGAAAATGAGAATAATGTTGATTTTTTTTTTTTAAATAAAAATTGTTAAAAAGAAATGAATAATTATAATAAAATGTGAAGTATGAATTAGTATCTATGTTTTATGACCAAGTGGTTTGTTACAACAACAAATAGATCTACCAACATAAAGTTAACTAGATGTTTTGTACACAATTTGATTTTTTTTTAATTCTCTTCGGTTTTGCTGTTTGGTTTGCCTTGATGCTAGGGTGCAAGGTTGGTCGCTGCATGATGTTTAAATATTGGAATAGTTCAATATGCGTGTGCTTTAACATTATATTATGTGTGTGTTTTTGCGGCATGTGATATTGTGGGAATTCAATGTGACACTTATTTCTTATATTTGTTTCTCTGGGATAGACGCATACAACGCAGAAAATGGGTGTGGAATATCAGAATTGACAAGTTTATATGGTTTAATTTGTGTGAGTAATGTTAGGTCTGTATGGGTGGGTTTTATTTCTCCCAAGTGCTGAAAAACAATATTTGGGTGTATACTTAAAGTCAGACTAATATGTAATATCGGTTGGCTTAATTATAGTCAGAATAAATTAGTTTATTACAATGCCCCACTATGTAGTACCTCAGTAATCCTTATTTTCTTCATACAAAACTCCTATTGAAAGATGCTCTCACTAAAAATGTTGCCACAGTTATTATGCTGAGCATTAATAAGCAATACTATGCAGCATATTGGATATTATTTACAATTGTACAATTTGTGCCGTTTTTAGCTATTAGTCATACAAAATTAATAAAGATCAATTGAAATAATATCAAAAACAATATTGTATAGCTTAAAGAAAGGTTATTGTTTAAATGTTAAGGATAGCAATTCAAACATTTAACAATTTGGAACAACAACAAAATGTTAATATTATTAAAAGTTGCATGTTTGTGCAATTATAGTATATGTACGAGTACCTATACAATTTACAAATAAAGGACTATTGATTAGCTAAAGGAATTCTTGAAATATCCATTAGTTTACACGAAAAAATAAACTTTAATCATAAGCAATTTTTTATGATTAAAAGTAACTAGAAAATTGAATATATATGCTCTCTAGAATTATTATACTTAAATATCGCTCGGCTTTTATACAGTTCTTCTTTTTTTTATTTTTATTTTGATTACTTAACGAAAACGAAAAAAGAGTAAGCACTTAAAAACAAAATCATACCTTAAACAATTGGACTCCTATAACGGCAAACATGAATTGCAGTAGGCATGTGACGAGCACAATATTTCCGATAGTCTTAACAGCGACTATGACACATTGAACAACATGCTGTATATGATACGACGATATATGTATAGTTATAATACGATATTTAAGATATACTCTATATATGTATGTATAAAATAGCTCAAGATTTAATTGGTGTTAAAATTGCGTTTCGGTTTTAGTATCAACATGTATGGCACATAGTTTGACTATGCCTAAGCCACGCCCATAGCATTTATTCCACGCCCATTTTCGTTAGGTGTTAAAAGTTCAACTCAAAATTAAACAGTTGTTGAATTTAAATAGATATATTTATATACTATATTTTGTAGTGTATAATTCAGCCAATAGAGCTTTTCGTGGTGCACCCTACACCCAGCATTTCAAGGTTTTTGATTTCAATTGGTTTTCATCATTTGGAAACTACGCATTTAAGTTTTTTTTTCTGCACTTCGTATTGGGGTTATTGCAAAAAGACAAGATTTGATTATTAGCTCGCAAAAAAAATAAAATAAAAAAACTAAAATTAAAAATTATTGTTGTAGTGTAGCGTTTGTCTAAATAATAAGAACAAACGTAAACTTAAAACGTCAAAGAAATTAAACGATTTTAATAGAAGCAGGTGAATAAAATCGATAATAATAATAAACGATAACTGTGAAATCATAGAAATGTGGCTTACCTTCAGACCCTTGGCTCGATTAATGGCGCGCAGTGGCCTTAAAACTCGGAGAACGCGAAGAATTTTCACGACTGAAATCGCATTCGAACTGCAGTTGAAATCGACGTTATAATTATATTCCAGAAGTAAGTTTATCAACTACTGGGTTAGAGTAGTCTTTATTGTGTTTACCTGGATACTAGAGATATCAATGAGACGCAGACCACAAGTAAATCTAGTAGATTAAATGCGGATCTGCAAAAGGCTCCGTCGTGTAACACGAAGCCATATGAAATCAATTTCAGAATCAGTTCTATTGTGAAAACTGCCGTGAAAAAATAATCAAATTTATTGAGTACCTGCAAAATTGAACGGGGTGACAACATGAAAATTTATTTGACAATTGACAAATATTTAAATACAAATACAAATCTACGAACACTCTTCTGAAGCAGACCCATTCACAACTTACGAAATATTGAGTTGCCCGTCTGTTTTCGATTCGGTTCGGGAGCTACTTACTTTATTTAAATCATCGTTGGCCCTTAGTGGATTCTCAGCTGCCAGCATGGCCGATGAGAACATAATGCAACAGAGGATAATGTTGCTGAAATTGCTGTGGTTGCAGAGCCAGTGGCAAAAGACACGAAATCTGTGAAGAAATAAAATGTTCTAAATAAATGCCCAAAACTGAGGGTAAACTAAAAAAAAAAAACAAAAATAACAGCAAAACCAATTATAAACGTGCATTTCAAGTTAATATAATAATTATTCAAATATTATTAAATGTTATGGAAAAAAAGCAATTGCTAAGAGAACGTTTGGCATATCAAATTTTCAGTTTGAAGAACTCTAATAACTAAGGGACAATAACAACTGTATTGGTCTGGTGATACAAAAGATTTTCGATTCGCTAAAACGACAAAACAAATGTAAATCTAAACATCTAGACACAGGTACACATAATACATAAATATTGTTAAACAAAAGACAATTACAATATTATAATATTACATTCATAGGAATACATCACATCACACACACAAAACACACGCACACACACAAAAAGTAATGGAATTTATAACAAAGTATAGGAAGTATGAACACTCTTGGTTATTACCCAAGCCATATATATATAATTGGTATGATTAACTAAAACATAAAAACCTGTTTGTTTGGGAGAAAAGAAAGAATGATGTGCCCGGTGGTATAGGTAGAATTTTCGTAGCCGTATTAACCTCAGACATACGTCGTGGGCGTGCTGTTATCATGCCTTCTTCATCCACTATATGCAATAAATTTTTTATACATCATTTGCCAATGTGGAAAAAATAATAAACACATATTGATTCATGTAGAAAAACAGGGATGCTTAAATTAAGAAATATATGTATATATATATAAATAATAATAAATAGCTTATAGTAATTAAAAACTTATGTACAAAAAGTGACAAAAAAAATTCTTAAGTTCTAAGTATATTTTTGTCTTAAAAAGAAATGAAAAGTCAAATTTCAAATTGTGTTTGGGTTCGAAGTGGGGTAAAACCTTTAAAAGGAAACTGGTTTATGGTTAAAATATGGGTATCTGTGTGTAGTTCTTGAAACTTCTAATTTACTAACTGCTTTACTAAATGCAAATTAAAGCGATGATTAATTTTCAATGCAAATGACTTTCAGTCTTAGATGCTTGTCAAAATGTGGTTCATTAACTGAAAATCAAAATTAAGCTGCAATTAACTTTATGTACAGTGCATAAGCTACAGCTTGACATCAAATGATCAAGTATCGTTTTTTATTTTCAAATATTTCGTATAACCTATGTAAAATGCAATCATGCAAAAAATAGCCGTACAAAACCAGTGTGCAAGAAAACATTCAACAAAATGTTTAAAGAAATTGCCAAAAAGACTCGTGAATAATACAAGTGTCAATATTGTATTTTTGTTGTTGTAGTTGTTGTTGTTGTTCTGAATGTTTTGATGTTGTTGTTGAATTACCTGTTTGTGTAACTGAAAATGAAAAATGCACTGCCTCGTGGTATGGGCTTTTTAGTCTTCTTCATGCTGACTTCAGATAAACGTCGGGGTCGTGCAGTAACACGTGCTGATACTTCAGAATGGGAATCTTTTGATTAAAACAAAATTGATAGTTGTGTGTTTGTGTGTTTTCCAAGGCAGCAAATGAAAGCGTCAGCAGCATGAATATCAATCAATCAAATTTTCGACTATGGTTTAGTAAGTGTCTAATCCGAGTGTATATATTAATGATTTGTATGTATGTAAGTGTGCTTAACTTACTATACTTATTTTCTAAGTACTTTTCAGATACATAACTTATAGATTAGTTAAGTTCAGCTAAGAGCTCAAAGCTAATATGCAACTCACCCTCTTCTTCTTCTTCATCTTCGCACATTTCACGCACTTCCTCATCAGATAAGGTCTCATGATCCCTAAAAATATATAAAGGTATTAAAGATCCGTCTTATAATGTTGGCAAATACTACACAACTTCTCATCATCCATCTCTTGATGTTCCAAATCAATATCAATGCTCATATGTTCATCATCCAAGCCGTCTATGGTGGGCGTGGGACTGTGCGATCTTTTCATAGCACCCTCGTCTTGCTGTAAGTGAATAAATAAATCATAATATTCCGATTGTGTAAAAGAAAGATACTTGCCGGCTCCTCTTCCTTTTCCACCTCCGACAGGGAGTCAGCATCGGCCAAATTATCCACAGCAATGGCCAAGAACACATTTAACAGTATATAATTGCCGCATATGAATAATATTATAAAGTATATACAAGCCAAGGCACCGTATGAGGAGACGCCGCCATAAGCATTAATGCCCACATACATGACAGCATTCCAATCCTCACCAGTCATGATCTATAATATAATTGTTGTATATCAATACAAAATCTACTATTTTCTATATATATATTCTCACCTGGAATACTGTAAGCAGGCTCTGCCAGAAGCAATCGAAATTCATGCGATACTTCTCCTCCTCATTATAATTAAATCTACCACCAAAAACCTGCATGCCCAGCAATGCAAATATCACAATAAATAGGAAGAGCAGTAACAATAGCGAAGCAATTGATTGTATTGAATTCAATAGGGAAGCAACTAGATTCGATAGAGATCGCCAGTATCTAAAACAAGTGCATGTGTTGATTACAAGATTTTTTTTTAGATAATTCCACAACTCACTTGGTGACCTTGAAGACACGCAACAGGCGCACACAACGCAACACTGAGACGCCCAATGGAGGCATCATTCCCGTTTTTGTCAGCAGCGTCTCGGAAATGCTGCCAATCACAACGAAACAGTCGAAGCGATTGAATAGCGACACAAAGTAGCCCTGGAAGCCTAAGCTGTACATTTTCAGCAACATTTCGCACGTGAAAAGCCCAATAAAGACCATGTTTGTATATTCTGCAATGCGAAAGATCAAATAATTGCAATATAAAAGTAAATATTCAATAAATTTTTTGTTTAATGAAATTATGAATATCAATAAATGAAAGTTTAGGAAACGTATTATTGCATTGATGTACACCCACCCTGAAAATCATCCAGCCAATACACCTGGCGATAGTGCTCGGTAGCAAGGACGCCAGTGTTCAGAAACACCAGCACAATGATCAGCCAATAGAATGCCTGCGACTTGACTGCCTTGCGACAGGCTCGACGCATTCGTCGATTGACCCGATCGAAGTCCTTCTTCAATTTGCGCCAACGCGATTCGGTGATTTGCATTTCGGGCATCTCTTCCCCCATATTTTCGGTAGAGTCCATTTCGTTCTGTTGCTTACCCTTGCCATCGGGCATTAGGCCGCCCGTTGCATCTGGCTCAATATCCTCGGCCTGGGTTATCCAGTCGAGGTATCCGCGCAAATCCTCCTCGATTTGTTGCTTCTCGCGCAGCTTCTGAAAGTCGCCGCGATTCTTGGCCTTGTTACGCTCTTTGGAGAACTCACCGGACAACACACCAAGAATCAGATTCATAACGAAAAATGCGCCCAAAATGACCATGGAAATAAAGTAAATCCATTGCCAGTCGCTGCCCATCGCGTCTTGTATCTGTGAGGGGGAGTGGAAATTTCTCATCATAAATGCTTCTTTACAAATACACTTGTAAAAGTTCTGTCTATCCGTCTGTATTCTGAACCCGACAACAGCTTTTTTACTACCAAGCAACTTACATAATACAAAACATCTGTCCAGCCCTCGAGTGTGACACACTGGAAGACCGTCAACATGGCCAGTCCAAAGTTGTCAAAGTTCGTAATACCGTAATTGGGTCCTACCCAATTGCCGTAGCACTTCATGCCGTCAGGGCAAGCGTAGCCTACGCCGCAGGGTCTCATATCATCCTCGTATTCACCTAGATTCCGAGTTATTTGTTTGGGATTGTTTTTTTTTTTTGATTTTTTTTTTTTTTTTTTTTTAGTTTTCATGCATTAGTGATGAGATGTACTATGAGATGAGATATGATAATTGGGATGATAATGATTGTGATTCTGTGTTTTTGTCTTTGGGGTGAGCTTGTTTGAGTTTATAATTTTGTTGCGGAATATGCCGCCCATTTGTCCCATTTACTTAAAATTTCAACTAGCTCTATTAAGTAGAAGATTAGTTTAAATGCTCGGTGAAAATTGGACAGTATTTGTAATTTGTAGTGTGTTTTCTTTTATTTTTCGGAGGATGGTGTCTTTTTCGCATATTTTTTTCTTTTTTTTTGTTTTGTATGGATGTGTGGAAACTGTGTGTGTAGAGCGTTTATGCCTTATTGAATTGTGTTGGATTGTGTTGCTGCCCGCAAAATCGTGCACTAATCTACTAATAATAGAGCTACAGGACGTTGAATTTTAGTGCGACATATCTGGTAGCATTCAAGACATTGAATGATATTCGTACAACGTATAAATATTGTACTGTTGTTTAGATGTTGTTGGTTTTGTTTGTTTGTGCTTACCTGTTACCTCATCACGACACGTCTTATGCAATTTACCAGAGAACAACTCTAGGCCAATTATGGCATAGATAATGATTACGAATATGACCAAGAGTGCAATGTGAAACAGTGGCACCATGGCCTTTAAAATTGAATTAAGCACAACCTGTAGACCTGCGGAAAGCGTATGGATAGCCAATATATAAATGTAGATATAGTTTAAAGTGGAGTATGATTTACAATACATCAAGTGCGGTTTACACTGCGGTACACAACAAAAGCTTGTCACACTACACAGAAATTGATACTGAGTAAGAGTTACTTTTTAAAACTTTTAGGAAATTTTGGAAATGTTCTTTTTATTGAAGCAATATTTTTAACCTATATTCGAAAGTATTTTGTGTTTTCTTAATCTTCTCAATGAACATCATACAAAATTAATTATTATTAAATATTTTAAAATGCAATACTATTTAACCATACTCAAAATAGGTTGAATATATATTTTTGTGCGATTTAAACGGACAATAAAAGAAATACAAAATATATAATTGAAAATTTTTTTGTTTTGCATAAGTAGTTCCATGTTTGTTTGCTTTTCTTATACGGCATTAAGGACTAGTTGAAAGTTGCAATAAATAATTGACAGTTAAGTTTAGAATAGTTATCTAGCTACTTTTAAAAGCACTCTTTAAATATACTTTTGAACTCCTCTCTTTCTGTGTAGCATAATAACTACGATGTAGACCGTAGTTGTTTTTTCTGGTTTTGCTCTACAGGGACACTGTTAATTTTTAGTACACTTTTGTTTTTGTCACATTTGTGGTGCAGAAAGCTCTTACTTGGTACACCCGATACAAGTCGCAGTGGACGCAGTACACGAAAGGCACGCAGCGCTTTCACATCGAAGGCATCCTTCATCAAATGGGACAGTGCTGTACTTATCGCTCTGTAAATTATTATAGGGCAGACAATTTCATACGTGTCTCAGTTTTGATTGAATTGGATATAAGGTAACATAGAAAATGGTTAAAATGAGGCCGGAATGGGGCCTGGGCGCTTAACGCTTTTAACTGGCATATTTTATATGCTTACCCTATAACTACAATTGTAAAATCTAATAAATTCCATCCATTTCTTAGATATGCACCATTATGTAACACAAAACCGTATGCTAATATCTTCATAACACATTCCGCTGTGAATATAACTAGGAATATATATTCAACTTTTTCCTAATTTGTGTGTATTACGAAATGATTTGTTTGAATGAATGGATTATGGATATTGGGGTGCAAATGAATGACAAGTGAATGGTGATCACGTTGGTGGTATGCATAAAAGACAGATGAGAGAAATATAAATACGATTAATAAACCACAATATCAGCAATTATAATATATATTATATAGCAAACGCCTCTGCAAAAGGGCCTCGACAAACTTACCAAGGTTTGATTCGTCACATTCGAATCGCTGCCCGGATAAGGCGTGTAAACGGCCAAGGCAATACAATTGGCAAATATGGTTAACAAAATAAGGAACTCAAATGGTCTAGCGGAAGTTAAGTTTCAGAGTTAAGGATTAGCAAAGTGGTTTTCATCTTTCTTCAATAATAAATAATAAGATTCGCGTTTGTATGAACCATTGATTCAGGCGGATTTTAGTGGGTATCTGTTAGTTATCTGTTAAATATTTAAAGTCACGCTAATGAGTTCTTAAGTATATAGATTTTTAAAATCAGCTAACAACTTCAATTCAAGCCTATTCGACAGATGGAAAAATTTTACATTTGGAATATATGAATGTTCCAAAGTCGATTCTTAGTCTGTTGAGTCAGTTCAAAAAAGTTGTATTTTTTTTTTATAATGATTAAATGATTATACCTAACCTAACCTAATATGATTATAAAGTATTTGATTTACTATAGCTTTCCTATTTGTATAATCTCTTGGCCGATAAGTAAAATTATTCTTGGCTGGTTATTAATAGTAAAAAAACTAAAAGAAAGGGCAACAGGATTTTAGTTGTGTCCTACTGAATCAGTTTATACTGTAGAGCATTATATGTAAATAAGAGTCTATCAGCAAAAAGGATACTTCCATTCGACGATGCGAATGCAGAGCGCTCGTATGGGATTCTTGAGGCCCAGGCAGAAAAGGGCGCGCTGTGGTCGATCCGGCTGAGGTTTTCCGCGTCGCTGCGGTCGCTTTTGGCCGGCAGCAGCACCCGCTTTTTGGCCACCGGCGCCACTCGGTCCAATTGTGGTGCCGTTCATTGTTTCCGGAATGTTTGCAATGCCCATGGCATCGATGCCTATGTGTGGGGTAAAATATTTTCAGCAGCTAACAGATATTCAATTATGTATTTGAACTCACCCATAATGTTGGTGCCGCCGCCCATATCCGTTTGCGGATTGTTGGACGGATCGCCGCCGAGGCCAGCACCACCGTTGCCATTGGGTGTGAAGGTGCCGCCGCCAGCGGCACCTCGCTCAAAGTCCATAATGTTAAAATATTTGCCGGCACCGCCGCCAAAGTTATCAATCAGCTCCGCGGAGCTGGAGTAGAAGGGTGAGAATGCTTGTGTTTCGTCCTCCTCCTCTTCGTAATACTCGTCCACCTCCCCGTCGTCGTCGTCGTCGTCTTCAGCGGCGTTCTCTTCCTCGTCGTCGTCGTCCTGTTCGTTATAGTCGTAATGCTGTGCCAGCTGCTCCTGCTCGTCAATATCAATAGTTGTGCCCTCGGGCTCGTCTTCCTCTTCGTCGTACTCGTCGTCGTAGTCAGCGTCGCCGTCGCCCTCGCCGTCGTCGTCCTCCTCAGTGATTCTACATGTCCTCCGTATGGAGGGCCGTTTATTTCGCGTATTCCTTCTTACAATGACATCGGCATTGTCGTCCACATCACCAACATCTTCGAGCGAATCGTTGCCACTAAACGTTGCTCCTGCAATAATTCGAATCTCATCATCATCCGCATCCTGGCGTCGCTCACTGATGCTCTCGCAGTCGGTGTTGCCGGCGCCCGCTGCTGCAGCTGCTGCCTGCTCCTTAGCTGCCGCTGCAACGGCTGCAACAATTGCCGCTGTGCGTAAGGTTTGTGAGCTAAGATCGTCGGGGTTATCAGGATCGTCGTCGTCGCCGTGCTCACAGTCGTCGTCGCCAATAAAGCTGCTCACATCCCCAACGCCAAAACCATGCAACGTGCTGTTGTCGCCGGTAATGTCACAGTTGCAACTGTTGCTGCTGCTGCTGTCGCCGCCAATGGCGCTGTAGCTGCTGTCGTCGTCTCTGGGACCGCTGCTATAGCTACTATTGGTGCTGCCAGCGCTGGTCACACTATTCTGGGGCTGCTGTTGCCACGCCGACTGCGCTGTCCCTGTCAAGACCTCCTCGGGCGTCAGACGTTGACTAACGCTGCCTGCCCCGCCTCCGCCGTTGCCGCCGCACGAGGTGCAACTTGATTTGCGACGCTGACGTTTACTGCCACCGTTGCCGGCGCTCACTGACTCGCTGCCGTTGTTATTGTTTTTGTGTCGGCGCTGCTTAAAGTCGAGCTTGTAGGTGCTGTTGTTTACAATTTGACTGGTGACGGTGCTGAGAGCAAGCTCAGTGTTTGCTCCACGTATCCTTGTCGAGCTACCCGCTGTAGTATCGTCGCTGCTGGCGATTGTCTCGAGCGGACAACTGTTGGTGACATTGGGGGAGGGATTGGAAATAGAAGACAAAACTTTAGTTATTTGATTTTTATTATTATTAATTTATACTCAGACTACATACTCTTGGGATGCATTTGCCAAAAATAAATCATTTTTACAACGATGCTGTGGATACGAATTATATATATAAACTGTAATCGGATCAGTTGGTACTGACTACAACATAGTCTAATCCCATTTTGTTGCTTACCAAGATTTCTGGTCGAATTCTTTAGTAATGCATTTTGCGATGTTGGTAACTTTTGGCAAAAAAAATCATTAAATTATTCATTATTGACTCCATTATTTTTGGAGGTCACAAATAAGCCCAAAATAATTGTAAAAACTTGGAAATGGCGTATCCCACTGCCCTTTTCTTTATTACTATTAATTTAGTATTATTTGAGTTATTTTAAGTTGCAAAAAGGTGTGTTCGTTATTTCTCTTTGGCTTAAATTTTTATATCATTAAATTCGAGTCTGGTATATTCTACTGGCGATAAGTTAAGAGATGGAGCAGATTTCAGGGTTGCATTAAAAAAAAATTAAAAAAAAAAAAGCTGACATAATAAAAGAGCCAATCAATCAATAAAGATTACAGGCTGATTTTTGAATGGAGACTAGTATTTATATTATGCCAAAGTATTGACTAGATTTCGTATCTAGTTTAACCGACTTAAAAATGGAATATATCCCCTAATAGGTTAGGGATTAACCTAACCTATCCCCTAATAGTTATATGAGTTTTCTCTCAATTGACTTTAAACTAGAGGCAACATGCTTTAGAACTGCAACAGTCATGCCCTATAATATAACATCATAATTACTATTACATGCTTCATTATACTCTTACACACGCAAATAGACACACACACACATACAGAGAGACTTACACAGTGAGACGAACAGCGATTTACAACACATAGTTACGATAGTTAGTTTACAATAGTTAGATATGGTTAATATGGGAGTGTCGTTGGCTAACTTACTATGCCCTAGAATTCCTAGAATTCCTAGAATTCGTATGTTCCAAATAATCAAACTCTTGCATTGCATTGTAAATGAATTTCTTTTCGTGCTCCTGCTGGAGTTGCAAATACCTTTGTTGTAGCACCGTTTGACCCGTTGTTGTTGCTGTTGCTGTTGCTGCTGTTGCTGCTACCGCTGATGGTGATGTAGTTGCGGCTGTGGATATGGGCACTGGTATCGTTATCGTCGGCGATCGATGCTGATGGTGATGCTCCGGCCTGACAACGATCACCTCAAGATCACTTTTCGCTGTGCTCGCCTTCCGATTATATTTACGACTGCCCCGCGCCTGCGTCTCAGCCTTCAAATAGCGTCGTGATGTTGCTGGCGATGTGGGCGATGGCTTGCGCTCAATCACCAGTGTATTATCATCATAGGCTATGCAATTCACCAGCTCCCCACCACCCATTGTTGTTGTTGTTGTTGTCGTTGCTGTTGTTGTTAGTGGTGGTGGTACTGCTGCTGCTGTTGTTGCTGTTGGCTCATCGCTGGGGTCATAAAGTTTCGCCTCCCTTTGCCGCTGAAATTGAAGCTGGCGGCGACGCTGGGAGGAAGATGTTGTTGCTCCATTGCGGGAACTGTGTGGCTCGTTGCCAAGTGATTGCTGTTGTTGTGGGTGTTTGGTCAGGCATGATTCATCAATTGTTGTGGGCGAGAAATCTGTGGTTGTTTCCCTCTGCCTAGCTTTATCCTTATCCTTAGCCTTATTGTTACTGTTTTTATGATTTAATTTATTATTGGTACTAGAACTATCCAAGGCATCGTATTTGTTAATTTGCTGTTGCTTTTGCTGCTTATGTTGTTGTTGCTGTTGTGCCTGCTGCTGCTGCTGCTGCAGTTGTTGCTGTTGCTGTTGTTGTTCCTGTTGCTTTTGCTGTTCTTGGGCTGTTGGTGATTTTTCTTTATGCTGCGCTGACGTTGCATGCTCCTTATGTTCTCCTAGTTTAATAATTTATGATTTGTGTTATTTGGCGAGTTGTTATTTATTAAAGCATTAATGGTAAGTGCATATTTGTACAGCAGAGGTCAGAAAGTGCGGAGTAAATCTTTTATATTTAAAATGGTTTGTGATTGAAGATGATACATTTCAAACTGAATTCAAAATTCCTAAAATAAATCTATAAACTTTGTTTTTTTTTTGTACTACAAAAATATACATCAAAATAATATGCATTTTTGAAATTGTACTTAATTTTAATAATTTAAAATTAGGCAAAAAATATATAATAAATGATAATGGGTCATTTTTCGAAAGAAACTACTTCATTTTAAAACGTATACTTTTTCAATTTAAAGTTTGTAATTCCTTATATATAAGGTTGGTTGACCACTATTTTGTAATTTATGGAGTTATACATTAGTATTTCAATTTCAATATCTCATTTATAATTTCTAAGCAACAGACGACTCAAATGAGTTGTACTGTTAATAGGTTTTTTTTTCTTATATTAACTAAAATGCGAAAAAATATATGATAAATGATATTTAAAGTGTAGCGCTGACAAGTTTGATGCATGACATTATTATTATAACGATGTGCAAATGTGAATATTACGCATACGCCATAAGTACGCCATTTGGTACCTGTATTCATATTTGAAGTTTCCTTCCCACGACTAAATTGATTTCTGCTTTCATTCACAGCACTTTCGAGAACTGCTCTATAAACGCGGTGCCATTAAATGCGGTCAACGTCAGCCAGTCCAACAGGTGAGCTGTGTCCCAGTCTTCCCTTCACACACATTCCCATGCAAATTGTGCTTGCTCACTTTCTCACTCACTCATTCACACTATTTCTCTCTCTCTCTCTCTCACCGCTTGACATGGCCTGCTAAGAGCTTTTTTTTTATGGTTGTTGTTTGCCACAGATAAATTGAGGGGGTTTGTTTTTTGTGTTTTTATTATTATGTTAGACGGTGGTGCAATTGTTGCTCTTTGGACGTTTAAATGACGGTTTGTGATGTGCTCCTTGTTAATTGTCTAATAAAACATTTAAAATTTGGCATTTGTTTAAGTCTGGTGTAACTTTTGGTTCTATTGTTATAGATTTTTGTGGCTTATGTCTTATCAGCCTTTTCTTTTTCAATTATTGAATTTCGCTTATTTCCAGGCGGCTGCACTACACAGAATTGCCATTAGTGCTGATAACTTATCATTGATTGGCGCGCTATATATAAATCCATACCATTTACACACACACACACACACACACATGCTAAGCGCATGTGTCTCTATGTGTGTGAGTGAGCCTGTGTCTATGTGTGTGTGTGTGCGTGCGCATCAAAACAAAAACATACGCAATGTTTACATTTTCTTTGTTGTCGCAACATTTTTTTTTTTCGGCCAGCAGAAACTGTCAAATGGGTAATCAACTCTGGTGCTCGCTCTCTATATGTCTCTCCATCCTTAGCTCATTCTCTCTCTCTCTCTCACTGTCCTCTCTCATCTCTCTCTTTTGGTTTGCAGCAAAGCACATTTGGCTTTGCAGCAGCCAAAAAAGTTTCGAGCCAAGTGTCAAAAAAGCCTTTTTGCTTTCACTGAATTTCAGCTACTGCTGTGCTCTCAAACCCCGCCCTGCCTCATCCCGCGGGGACCCACAGTCGCATTCGTCACTGATTAAAGTTTGTAAAGTGCTAACCACAAGTATGGTGGGAATGGTTTGGTTGGATGCCTGGCATTTAGTCGTATTGGGGTCAAGTGCGCGCGTCTAAAAACTAATTTGCGCGTTTATTTTATGAGTCGCTTGGGGAAAATGCAAAGCATACTTTTTAGCGCCCGCAAACATTTTCCTGCAACAGTAAATGCTGACCGATTGACCTACCCAGGCATATGTAATAAGCACAAACTCACACACACGTACACACCACTAGAACATGCACATGCACAACACACATACACACATACACACACACACACACACACACACACGTGTGAAAAATTTCAGACGCAGTACGTAGAAAAGCGAAAGCGTTTTTTTCTTTCACAGCAGCCACGAAAATTGGCCTTAAGAACACGTATTTCACAGGCGTTTTCAGTTTTCAATTGTGTTAGATTTCATAAGTTTTACATTGGCGTTAGTTATTTGTAATATTATTATTTCTTTTTCTTTGTGGTTTCTCCACGCAGGCCAACTGGACCATTAGCAACGTGAACGCGTTAAAGGAATCAGACACAAAAGCACACTGTGCAGGAATTGTTAGCTTTTCGCGTGGCAACCGTGAAAATGTTGACATACAACGATAACAGCTTTTCCCCCGCAAGCTTTACAGTTAAAAGCTGGCCTTATCGATTGTTGTTGTGCTGCTGATGGGGCCAGCTTGGTTGTGACAATGGGTCAAGAGGTTTGTGTATTAAATAAAGAGTTTCTTGGTAGAATTTCAAAATGCAATTTGTAATAAAAGTAATCAAATATTGGAAAAGATGAAGAAGACGAGTTTAAATAAATTCTATTTGTTTACCAGCTATCGGTAACATTGAAAAGTAGACAAAGTTCAACGTATTTGGCAAGTATTTATTTGGAAAAGCAATTATCTGCAAAAATTAAAACCTACTATTAACTATGCTTATTTGAAAGAAAACAATTTTAGGATATCATAAATCATAAATCGAAACTCTAATAATAACACAATTCAGATATTTCTCGATCTTTAATCTAAATATCAAAAGAATTTAATTCACATAATTAAATTTGTTTACAAACAAATATAAATACCATTAAAAATGCAGACATTTTAATGATTGTTTCATTTTCGTTTTGATTCCAACAACTTTTGAAAAAAAACTCTTGTGAATAAAATGAATCTATTTCTGATATTTGTGGCTCTTGCTCGCACTTGCATTTGTTGTCAGACGCTCAGCAAACAGCTGTTGGAAAATAACGCATGCGCTGAAGACTTTATGTTTCATTTTGACAGTTGCACGGTGTGAGAACGCAAGAGAGAGTACACAGAGGGAGAGAGAGAGAAAGAGAGAGAGAGAGAGAGAGAGAGTGGTAGTCTACTCAAAATTCATTGTCAAATTCAGTTTGACACTTTTACGGATTAGAAATCATTTGCTTTGCTATTTTCTCCTAATTTTCTTTCTGTTATGTGTTACAGCTGACTCATCGCCGCAATTTCTTTGCATTGACCAATAAATACCAAGAAAAAAAAATACTTTGATATATTGCTCATGTGTTTTCACATTTCATGAGCTCTCTACAGTCGGCTAATGAGCTACATCCGGCTGGAAATAAGCAATAATGAGGTAGACTTTTGTATTATTTCGAAAAATGAAAACAAATGTTCACAAATTGTCCGAACTGTTTCAACTTAAGTTAACCCATTAATTTTATCATTCTTGAGGTGGGTAATGACTCAGATTGTATATTCTGTAGTTGTAGATACGAAAAGCGTTGCCAATTAATACTTTTTAAGGGGATCTGAATTCAAACCGATACAAATTATTATCTGATTGAGTGTTTGTTAAATGGAATATCTGAGCATTTGACAATGATTTTTTTACTTTACTTTGAAAGAAAAACCTGAAGAAATTACAGCCTTTAAGATCAGACGTACTATATAACTGTTTGATTTATTAATTTATCACTTCCCTCTATACTTATTTATTATTCTTATCACATTAAATCTATGTCTTGCTTTTAACTGAGAGTTCCTTGATGTTACTGGTAGCCTCCTTTAAGAACCGATAGCAAATTTATATGGCCACGCCCACACCTACACCCATAATCGCCAATGCCCTTATTTCGGAAAGTGTAAATCCATAAATCCGCATATCTCCCACAATTTTTAAGATAGAGTGACCAAATTTGAAAAGTATATTGTTAGTTACACATTTAAAAAATACAAAATCTCTCTTTTATTTATATATTTATGAATATCTCATCATGTTGGTCATCAATTTTTTAAGCAACTTACTAATATTTGTTGATTATTCATTAAAAAAGTATTCGCAAAATTGTACAATTTGTTTAACTTGAAATTGAATGACTTTTTATTTGTATGCAGACTTTGATCAGTAGTGAAGGCTGCAAGGCACATGAGATACATATTTTCTTGTAAATCAAATTTCATATCACCGATTCAACGTAAATGCCGATTTTGTTTAGCTGCATTTTGGCTAAGTAACTATGTACACATATATATAAAAAAAAAAAATATATATATATATATATTATATGTTTAAGAAAAGAGTGTGCTATTGTGTGCGTGACGCTTTGGTTGTTTGAATGAAAAATGTGTTGCTAAATATTATTGAAAACAACAGAGAAACGCCAGAGCTGCCAAATAGTAGGCACCGCAACGTCAGGCCAAATAGAGGAGATGGGGGCAGGGAGAGGAATAGGGGTAGTTGGGGGGCAGGTTCGTCGGTCATTTGGTTGCTTGGGCATAATACTCTTTCCTTGCCCGCACTTCTATTTATAGACCAAGCACACGTAGTTGGATCTGTCGATGCGATTGTGGTGTTGTTGTTGCTGTTGCTGTTGTTGTTCATGTTGCTGTTGTTAGCCCCAATTTTCAGTAGCCAGCAGACAATGAAATTAAATTTAGCTTAATTGAATTGCCTTTAGACCAAAAACTATTAGGATACGCCCGAGAAATTCATAAATACAATGCAAGCAAACATTACTCAAAACTATTAGCTAAATGCAGAGCACACACATAGATGTAGCGCCAACTTACCATATAAGTCAATATAGATATATATTATATACGTACAGTAATTTGCACTTGCTTGTTCTACATTTTACTTACAAGATATCAATTCATTCCCTCGTGGCAACAATAAAACAACAAAAGAAATACAGGCAGCAATTTTTATGTGTCCGTCGTACGTAGAAATCCGTGCCAAAGGCAGTGGCGCAGCATACGTGGCGTTGATATTTTTAACTCTACGAATTCGTTTTTTTTTGTATATATTTTTTTTTCAACTAAGAAAATTTGCTTTTGTTACTGCATATTAAGCCGAACAAAATTATACTTTTATTAGAACTTTAACAAACTAGGTATTAACATTTATTAATTTTGCTTGCCAACATATTTTCAATTTGGTCAAGCATATATGATTATGACAGCGCACTGTATGCTTATTATAGATATAATATAACTACATATATATATATACAAATATGTATGATTTCTTTTTAGGTACACTATGAACTTTCTTTATATTATATCTTTTGTAGCACTTTATCAGATTTATTAAACAATTGTTAAATAAGTTTCTTAGCAATTTAACTCTAATTTGCTTTGGAAAATCTTGAGTAGTGGCTATCAAATAATTTTCTTCACCCGCACAGAAAATATAATTTGTGTGTGTAGCTTAAAAATAAATCTGAACACACACGAGCGCGTTGCACGGCGATTGGAAGAACGCAAATGCGCCGAGCAGACCAAATAACGCCAACGATCAGCCGAGAACTGTCAGTTTGATGGTGAGATCTTGAAATTTGGCTCCTCTCTGGTATTTTTACGTATTTTTTCTTATTTTTTGTATTATTTAGGTAGTTTTTCATATATTTTTTGTTGGTTGGTTCTGCATTAAATTTCGAACTCAAAACAAAACTTAAAAATTAAAAATATAAGTTTTAGATGTCAGCTCTTCTTTCTTGTTCTTTCTTGCTTAATATCATTGTGTTCTATTGAAATAAAATAATTCTTAAAACAGTTGGATTATTTCTAGTGTTGCTACAAATTTGTGAGTGAATTACTTACATAACTAAATATGTTGATCTCTCACGTCCTCTAACTTCTTCTCTCTACTGGCCCCTCTTCAGATTTTGAAACCAACAAATTTAGTCCTTACTGAATTAGGAAGCTTACATATACTTCGCGGAAAGGGTATAGAATTTGTAATTCAAAGCTTTTAAAGCATAGAACACAACCGCTAGAAAAAAGCTATTCGGCTGGATGTTATTATCAAAACTTTGTTAAGCTTTTTGTGTTCAGCTTTTTAGCAAACATTCATGATTAATAATTATATTTAACTAATTTTTAAGCGAAACAAATGTCACATTTAATATTTTTATTAATTTAAAGCAGTACTTATACTAGATTTAAATGGAATTCACTTATATCAATATAAATAGACAATAATTTATTTAATTAAAATATTTAACAGCTCAAAATTTTGGTTTATATCTGCAAATACCTGTCCTCAAAGTGCCAGGGGATAACCTATATAAATCTGTGTAACATGCACAAAAACTTTCATAATTACCAACTGAAACAAAAACAGCGGTGAAAAATCTTAATGGCAATACGTACAAAAACACACATTCATGCACAACAAACGCACACACATACAACATATAAACATAATATTTATGTATGATTTTGTCGGTAGAATGCCGACTCTGAGCAAGACCAACTTTTGTCTGCCTGTCTGGTTCTCTTTCTCTCTTGGTGAGTGTGTGGCTTATTTACAGGAGTGGAATTTGTAAGCAGTACTAGTAACAACAACAAGAACAACAATAAATTAGGGCAACAGGAAACGACTCACAGATTGTCTTTGTACCGCCGACAAGCCACTTGGCATCTGGTTGCATATAATTATGCACATGCTAATGATATAACAAAAAACAACTATGAAGAACTGGTAAGTCTGGCCTTGCGAAGTTTGTATACTCTTTAATAATGATATACATGCGTAAATACTGAAACAGCTTGTATGAATCCATTTATTTAGTATATTCATTGAAACATTCATTTTCTTAATCAATTTACATACCAAGAAATATTTGTCATGCCCTAAATTTGATATATATCTGTGATTGTATTAATTAACAATATGTATATATATGTATTATTAATATAATTTATAGCTATAATTTTATAATTCGCCTCAACTACCAATACAACATTTTCATAGCCCGTGGCAGAGTATTATGACTGAAGTGAATATAGAAATTCATGTTATGAATATGTTTTGAATATTTCAAGAGACATTGAGTGCCTCACAGCGACCTCATATTGACTCTTGGATTCAAAGCTGAGTATGCGCGTTGTTAACTGTTAGTTAATTAAAACTTTTTGCCTTGCATTAGCCGCAGAAAGCTCTTGAAACAAAATTCGATTTGTTTTTTGGTTAGAAGCATATTTGCGGGCAATTGTTAAGCAAATTGCATTAAAATAACTGACAAGCGGGACAAACACGCACAGACAAACGCACGGACATTGCATGTCCTGGCGGACTTCATTATAAGTTGCAAGTTACGGCAACAAAATGTTAAAGTTGATAATTTTCTGGACATTTAAACTGCAAACTGGCATTTTATACTTGGACCTTTGGCATTGCTGGATGGGGTGTGAAGAGGGCGGAACGGAGA